CGGACAGGATTACCGGGGCTGCGCCGACTGGCCGCGGTGCACCCTGGGTATGCAAATCAGAGGAATACTAATGAGATCCATGCTAATGAGGCGCCCACGGCCTCAGCGCCGAGCACGGCCGCAGATCCCACCGACAGTCGGCCAGGCCCAGCCTCCCCCAGACCTCCTCGGCCACCGCCCCGGGGGTGCTTAGACGGATCCTACCTTCGTACTGGACCTCCAGGTGCACCGAGCACAGCACGCGCAGCACGGGCTCCATGGGGACAGAGAGTGCCTCCTCCACTACATCCTGGGGGGAAAAGGGCAGAGTGACAGGCACGGTCTTGACACAGTAGTCCAGGTTGTTCTCTTCCAGGCAGAGGGGCTGCCTGGTGCAGCCCCCAATGCCAAAAAGAGTGGCACAGCTCCTGCCAGGGCAGGAAAGACAGACAAGGAAGCAAACACTGCTTTTCACCCTGAGCCCGCCTGCATGACTCTGAGCATCTGCAGAGCCAGTTGCTGAGCTCGAGGGGAGGCGTACAGCAGCACAGTGATGAGGCATTTGCAGACTTGGTTCTGGTACTTGGAATTGCTGTGGCCGAAAGAGTCCAGCAGAACCTGCAGCTCTTCCTGAGCCTCTGCTGAGTTGGAAGTGGTCACGAATTTGGCAAGGGATCGCACACCTGAACAGAGAAAGAGACACCGAGTTGTGTGCCTTGATGAGCCTGGGTCACCCATCTCAGCTGTTTTATGTCACCCCCAAGGGAACATAGCACCACATCCCACTTGAAGTGTGGCTTGAAGAACTGAAGCTAGGAAGAAGTTCTTTGCACATGTCAGGAGCCGCACCACCAACTGGGAAAACAGTTGGCAAAATTCCCAGCTGAAGTAGGTGGCCAAGGCCCTTCTGCGGGTGTTTACACAAGCAGAGAGTCTGGCGCTGGGATGCCAACAGTGCTGCCAAGGATCCCTCTGCTGATCCTGCCACTTTGTCTCTCTTGGAGGAAGCTGTGTGGTGGCAGGTGGCATCCCGTGGCCTCTGACAACGTAATCCGAACAAGTCACTGCAGAGCAAATAACAGGGGTTGGCTTCCACTGCCCAGCAGAAAGAAACAGGAAAAAACCTGCCATTGTAAGGTTCTTTCAAAAGATACAAGCTGCAAAACCTTCGCATCCCCAGAGGGGAAGTCTGGGAAAGTTTGCAGTAGGTGAACGCTGCAGGTAAGACTGGAAACTGTTTTGTGGTTTTAACTGGAGCAGTTGAAAACAGCAGGGCAGCAATATCGCATCAAAAGAAATGTCTGCAAAGAAAGCGAGCTCACTAAAAGCTGGGAGGGGGGATGAAATGCAACAGCTCAACAATAGCCGGGACTCTGAACTCCTTCCAGCCAGAGACAGGCTGCAGCCATCTGCCGTCCAGCAGTGGAGGGAAGGGAGTGGCTCAGCGTGGCAAGCAGCCCTGGGGGCCAGAGGTCAGGGAGATCATCCTCGCCTACATGAAGAAAAAGCACGGATGGAATGCCACCTACTGTATCTTTCACAAATGAGCTCCTTATACTTCCTGCCAGCGTCTGCAATGAGCTGCAGCAGCTTCACAGATTCCCTTTTGTCCTCTTCTTTCAGGTGGTTCAGCCCTAGTATTTCCAGGAGAATCAAGACACCTCCGATCTCCAGAAATTCAGTAAGGTATCTGCGTCTGCAAGGATAGGGGGGAATAAAGCCCAAAGTGTCACCTTCCTCCGTCAGCATGCAGTGCTCCTGGGAACTGTCACCTTCTGCCTCACTGCAGTGGGTGCCTGGCGCCCGGGTGGTGAGCACAAGGAGGCTCAGCCCAGAGCGCAGAGGCGGATGCTCGCCAGCAGCACGCTTTGCTGCCAACAGGTCACCAGCTCCCATTTTACCCTGTGCTCATTTCAGATACCTAACCACAGGCACAGAAAGCCTAGTCTCTGCACTCAGACCCTCACCACACTCCTGCCACATCATGTCAGTGAGATGGTGGCTCTGGAGACACGCACAAGCAGTGGATTTGTTTCTGAGAGCATTTGAAATTCCTACCACAAGCCTCACTGGGGCCTGCCTTGCCTGAAATGCTTTCACAGCCCTCCCAAAAGATGGACAAGGACTTGTTATTTTGCTTATCCACTCACTCCCTCACCCTTGTGTGTCTTCCCCACGGCACCTCTCACACATCACACAGTGACATTCTGTACTCACCCACTTGCAGCAGACAGGAAGATGCCAACGGACTCGAGCAGCTTGTCGAGGCATGTGCTCTGCACGTAGCTGTTTGACAAGGCTAAGGAGAGATTTACAGACCATCATGGTGACCCCCAGGCTGCCTGTGACAACGCAGAGGTCTGAACTGGGTACTGTCTCTGTGAGAGTGCAAGGACCTTCCTCTCATAGGCGGGCAGAGGCAGCATGCTCATCCCAATATGAGAAAAACTAAATCTAGGTCCCCGACAGGTTACATGGCTTCCCCTTCAGTTCCGTCTTTATATAGCCAGGTTTTTTTAACCCTGCGGAATGTGGCTGGATATGTACGTCTCCATACAGAAGTTTATTCTTTTAAAAATTTTTTGATAGAGAACTTTCTCCTCCTCTCCATCCCACTACCACATGCCACCTCCAGCTGTCCAAGGAAACAGACACGTCATCCTGAGCCACACTGTTAGGCAAGCCAGAAACAAGCTGGCTCCCTAAGAGAACTCCAGCTCCAGCTCTTGTTCTGTCTTGCTGTCATTGCTTTTAAAGAAGTTGTCCAGGATGTGGCTTTGAGCAACTTTGTGGGCACTATCCCATTCCTGCCAGAAAACCATGAGCTTCCTGATGGCTTCCTGCTCTTTGACAGAACTCGTGATCTCTTTTGCCTAGAGAAAAGTGAGAAAGAAATTAAAAAAGGGCTTGAGGACAGAAAAGGTCTGTACTAAGGAATTGACACCAGAATTACATTTTAAATCTCTGTCAAATAGTATTAAAGTGCTTACTAGCCATTAATTCAATCTCATTTTCCTTTATACTCCTTTCATAGATGGGAAACTGAGGTAAAAGGAGAGTTCCTGGTATGTCTGAAGCTTCGCAATGAATCTGTGACAGACCTGAGATTGTATTCCAGGGCAGGTGGCTTCAGCACAGGACTTCTCTGCTCTGCTAATAAAGTCATTTTGATGTTATCCATCACCCCAGCCTTGGTTTCTCGCTAGCCTCATGATATGAACACTGCATCTCATATCTGACCTGCCAGAGAACAAATAGGGTGAAATGAGAGCAGAAATAGGTATGGATTTATGGGGAGTGACAGGGTCAAGGGGGCGGTGAATGCCTGTTCGCCCAGCAGTGCAGCGTGCCCTCACTCACATGATGGAGCGACAGTCATTTGGACTGGGCCTACATCCACTCCAAGGAAGATGTGCTTGGCCTTGGCAGTGGCAGAGCATTTTGGGACCTCTTGGCATGGCAGACATGTGCTCTGTTTTATTCTTATCTAATTTCTATAGCATGTTTTTAAACAATCTAAGAAAACCTGAAATTATAAGAGCTATAGGCAAGAAGACAGAAGCTCCAGAAACATCCCTTGCCTGCACTTCCTTCCATCCCTTCACACAGATGTTAAATAAAGCAATCCATATTTTGCCAAATTTTGGCGCACTTTTGGCTCAGTATGCTATCCCCTACTCCAGCTTGTCAAATATGAAGGTGCACTTAGCAGGGGGATGACATGTCAGAAGCTCTCTGTTCATTCAGGTAGGTGAGAATTCCACTGGCACGTATGTGTTTGGCTTTCAGACACTGACCAACCTCAAGGAGCCTCTCAGCTAAACATCAGTGTCTGTGTGTGTATGCAGACGCAGAAAGAGGGACAAGGTCACAGACCACTGCATTAACACAGGTGTGATGTCCTCCACCAAGCTGTATCAACATGCCTGAGGATAAGAAAGGAATTCACACCTTGTCTATTATGGTTCTTGGGCTTCCTATGTAAGAAAAGCACCATTTTAGGTTTTATTTAAAGTGTGGTTTAAGAGAAAAGAAGTTAAAACGATGCAAAATCTTTGGGTTTCAGAATAAGAAGTTTCTTTCAATGTAATACAAGTTGCCAAGATTAACAGTTTCTTATCTACAAAGTTCTTAAGTCTTTTCTCCTAGAATCTGGAGCGAAATCCCAAATCAGTTCCAGAATATCCCCAAGATGCCTGCTCAAAAGTAACTTTCTATTGCTATTATCTGAACCAGATGGAAAACAATGACGAAGAGGTGAACAGGTACCTCAGCGCCTGAAAACAAAGTCTTCAAAAAGCTGGCTAAGAAACAACGTTTGAGAATTAAGATGAGATGAAATTTCATGTGGGAATTAACGGTCTGTGCTCTCTAAGGAGTCTGTGTCCTTGGCAGGGCATTTTGAGGATCTTCTTTGCAGGGAAGCAGGTTTAAAATAAATCCATTTTCCCAAAATAGTTGTGATTGAAAATGTTATTAGCCATAACAAATGTTAGTGCTGACAGGAGAATGGCCTGTTAGGGGCCTCTGGTGAACCAGTCAAGTGAAAGTCATATTTCACATTATTGCCAGCATTTTCCTGTGATTTACAGAATATTTGTGAAATGTTACTTGCAAGGCATATGATTGATATTGAGAGAACAGCTAGTATGTAGGGGGAATCTGTATTTCACAGAGACTGTTTGCATGAAATTTACAGTCCCATAAAGTGCTCCCCTGTCCTCAACAGAGATCTAGTTAAAAGAACTTTACTGTCTGAAACATCCCAAAATTGATTCTAAATTAACATTTCCATATTTATGTTTAAGGTGCTGGTGGTGTAATGCTATCCTATTTTTATTATAAAGCTGCAGTAATGCCCCACTATTCAGAAATACCAGCACCAGCCTCTGGATGTGAGGATTTTACTGATACAAAGGGCTTGTCTTTGAATCGATGTCAAAAAAAGGAAGAGTTTGAAACAAGGATCACATGAGGCTTCTGAGGATACAGTGGTATCTCTCCCTGTCTACTGTAACAGCATCTGCTGACATGGTACTATTTAGGCCGACATTGCAAAGTACCCTGAAAATGTGACTATTTTTATTATGACCAGATTACATATGGGAACATACAGACCCAGGGAAGTTAAATGGCTTGCCTGAGTCGTTTGTCAGTGCTAGCATCAGCACATAACTCCTGTTTGTTGGCTTCAAACTCTGCTCTCAGCAGTGCTGGGCTGGCACCCCTGTCCATTTGACCTAATAATCAAAACAAGGCTGGGTCAGAGCAGTGCTTTATATCTGCCAAGAAAAACACAAGTGATTTAGGAACTGGCTCTGGCAATTCAGCAGGTCTTTACATCCAGAGAGCTGCTAAATCATCAGATTGAGATCAAAAGGCAGACTGGTGCTGCATCAGCCACAGTCCAAGTGTGAGGTGCCAGGGACTGACAGCCTTGGACTCGTGGAAGGACAGTGATTTTCTGTTACCTTTGCAACATCAAGGTTGTGCCCAGCCTCAAGCAGAACTTACAGCTTGTTTCCCTAGCAAGTTTCACCCTCTCCTGGCATGCCCCAAGTCCCCCACAACCCTCCTCACACACAATGCACCTTTGTCAGTGTACCCCGATGCCTTCTACCCAGCCCCTATCAACCCACAGTCCCACTGGCTCCTCTCTCACCTACATGTCCTGCCTCCCAGCCCCGCTGTTAACCCCAGGCAGAACTCCAAACCTCGCCCCTGCACTCCCCTCACCCCCAGCCAGGCCCTGCACTGACCCCTACAGGCATCTCAGCCCCTACCCTCCCTAATACACCGCGGCCTCGACATTCCCCGCCCCAGCCCCGACCGTCCCACCAGGCCTGATCCAGCCCGACCGCAGGCCATGTGCTCCCCTCCACCCCAGGCCCTACAGTCCGTCACGCGCTCCCTGACCCCAGTG